TTTCCCTCCTCTGTACTTTCCTTCTTCTCATACTTCCCCTTTGTCCTCCTCCCCCTTCTCCTCCTCCAGCTCCATCTCTTTCCGCCTCCCTACCCTCCCTCCCTCTTAGGCTTTCGTCTTCCTTTTTCTCAACCTCCAGCTCCATCTCTTTCTGCTTTGCTACCCTCCCTCCTTAGGCTTTCGCCTTTCTTTTTCTCCTCCTCCTCGTGTTCCTCTTCCCCTTCCTTGTTCTCCCCTTCATGTCGCTTCGTCTCCCTTTCGTGATCAGAGTGAATAGGAAAGAAAAACAAAACCACCATAGCCCCGTCCTCTCCTTCATGTCGCTTCGTCTCCCTTTCGTGATCAGAGTGAGTAGGAAAGAAAAACAAAACCACCATAGCCTGTTTTGGCCCCTTTTCCCCACACCATTATCATCTCACCTTGTCCTTGCAAATAGTGCTCCTTACTCCTTGTCTTTCATCTTCATCGGCGTCTTCAACCTCGTTTTCATCAGTCAGCATCGTCATGGTAGGGAGTTTGGGCTCTCTCTCTCTCTCTCTCTAGCGCACGCTCGCGCGTGCATGCACCCACCCACCCACCCACAGTTCATGTGAACCCCACGAAAAAAGCACAACTGTGCCAGACTGTTTCGTTGGATTTTCACCAACTCATCAGGAGGTTGAACCCCGACAGTCTGCCCATGCCTGGTGCATTTGCATGCATGCGTGTGTTCCTGCTTGTGCGCATGTGTGTGCATGTGCGCATGTCCGTGCTTGTGCCTGTGTGTGTGTGCGTGCATGTGCTTGTTCGAGTGGACGGGCGGGTGTTCGTGTGAGTGCGTGCTGTGCGCCGACAAAGATATGTGGGGGGGGGGGAACCGCTGAGAGCCCAAGAGTAGACCATCCTGCCTGGAACCGGTTTCTCCCCACGCCTGGCAGCAGCAACCCAAAACGCCCTGGCCCTCCACAAAAGGAAAACACAGGGCCGTACCGGTAGTCCAAACATTGCGCAGCGATCCAGGCCGTTCGTGGGCCCGACAGCCCTGATTGCCCCGCGATATTAAAGGTTTAAGATCGCCGGGCAATCCAGGCCATCGGGCCGGTAGGACCGCGAACGGTCTGGATCGCCGCACGATCTTAAAATCTTACGATTGCGGGGCAATCCAAGCCGTCGGGCCGGTAGGTCCGCGGACGGCCCGGATCCAAAAATTCTCACATTAGGAACTTTTATAAGTGTATGGACCTTCATCAAATTGGTGTTGTCTCGAAGTGCTACTTGCGACAAAACGAGTCATTTCTGCACGGCGCTGGACACCGCAGACTTGAGTTACCCATTCTCTCATGATAACAAACATGCTGAAGCTCAAAGAAACTCACAAAAGCATAGAGAAAGAATAGTCTGCAGCTACTACAGCACTGACCATGTTTGAATTCACCCAACACTTGCTGTACGAAACTTATACAAGGGAATAGGGAAGAAAGAGAAGTACAGAAAGAATTCCCCAATTTGACTCCTTTTCTTATGCAAGGTGGGGGAGAGGAAGCAGCATTCCAACAGTCCATATGCACACTAGTTCAATAACAATGGAAAGTGGAACTAAAACAGAATCCAAGTACATGACGAGCACGAGATTAAGAAGAGATAAGCAACTGCCTACCCATTTACCTGAGTGCGGGGTTTTGAGAAAACAAACACCACTTACCGCACACATCTTTCCAGTCGCCCGCACGGCCTCCTTCAGATTCGTGACTGCTTGCTGATAAACCAAATCATCCACACAAAAGGGCATACGACATTCATTGCACGCATTATTGTAGAAGACGTACAGGACAACCGCAAAAAAAGCTTTGAGACAGAATATCATTCACTGCAGCCCGTAACTCGATCATTGAAACACAGCATGATAAACCTCGCCTTGCACACCCCTGGCGCAGTACCTCCACCTAGCCGTTCTTGCAGGGGTTTAAATCGTTCCCTTCCACCAGTAACCTCAAGCTTCGTCATTTCCACTCCAGCTATTGCCCACCATAGCCAACAAACTGCCCAGGTGCAACTCCACACCGCTTTGGAGTGCCTATCCCAAACAGAGAAAGCTGGGACAAAAAACAAGACGAGGTCTCTACTCTACAGATAGGCCAGGACAAAACACAAATACACAACATAAAAAGTTGAGTGCTTCCCATATTCCTCCTTGAGCAATACTTGCGAGACTCCGTGCCAATCTTGGTGACCATCTAGCAACGACCAGTTCTAAATCTCGCTGCTGTTTTCATTGTCTGTCTCAACGCTCTATTCTAGATTTTAGCTCGGTTAGGCTGTGCTAGAGAAAGATTAATCACTACAATGATACTTTTTTTCTATTTTTTCAAGCATCGCTTTAGTTTCTGGTGTAATCGTTAAACGTGCTAGAAACCCAGTTCGTTCCATTTAATTTCTCATTTTCGTATTTTGTAATACTTCAGCAACTGCAACCTGGAAGGACACCGTGACCGTACCGTCGGGGGCGAAGTTCAAGTTGTAGAACGCATGTCTTGTAAGTATGAAGTTATCAGCTCAAATCCAATCTTCTCCAATTTCCCCGTGAGCCGATGTAGCTCAGGTGGTAGAGCATTCCCTTGGTAAGGGAAAGGCCTCCGGTTCAAGTTCGGTCGTAGGCTCCGTCTTATATTAACAAAAATACAGATATATGGCTATAGCCAAACAAATAAATTTTATTTTCTATTTCGGAGTTTTGGGAATGCTCTGCCATCTTTCACCATATGGATTTCCGGATGGATGGGTCCTTAGTAGACACCCTACCTGGGATCGACAAAGAATCAAGCATAAGTACTTCCCTCAGAATCGAACTTGGCTTGGTTTTCAAGGTAAGAAATACCGAGACAATTGGGTTTTGTATGACCCTTACATGTCAAAGGCCACGAAGTGGCAGTGGCGCCAGTTCAGTCTCATTCGATTGAGTTGGATCAAAAGGTGTTGCAAGCACGAAGTGGTCCTTTAGAGGGTTGTCCCCCATGGATCCGGTAGTGAGAAGGCGCCGGATTAGGAGAGGATCAATTCGCGTACTTGTCGCAAAACTCAGGGTCGGCTTGGTAGCCGCGGATGAAGCTGTCCCGCAGGTCTTCGTCAATCTTGAAGGCTGAATAGACCGCGGTACAATGAACCGGACGTCGTGAAAGAGCATCCGAAAAACGGTTAGACTTCCCCGGAATATGGTTGGGAAAGAAGTCGAACTGGTCGATCAAAGCCATCCATCGGGCGATGGTGCTGTTGATGGTGTCTAAGGTCTTGTAAAAGACTAACGGATTGTTGTCCGTTACCCATCAGAATTGACTTCGACCAAGGAGGAAGTGCCGCCACCGCTTGAGCGCGTGGACTAAGGCAAGGAGCTCCTTGCGTGCATCACAACGAGCACTTTCTTGCTGAAGTACGCGACCGGGTGGCAGTCCACACCATCGTGTTGCTCGAGGATGGCACCAATGCCATAGCCGGACGCATCCGTAGTGACGCACGTTCGCAATAGCGGGTCGTATGTGTGCAAGACCTCCGCAGATAATAGCGCGGCTTGGAGAGCCAAAAATGATTCCCGCGCATACTCTCTGAAGTCAAACGGCCGATCCTTGCATTGGAGCTTGGCCAAGTGGGTCGCGATCTTAGAGTATCCCTTGATGAAACGTTGGTAGTAGCCGGCACGGCCGAGGAATGAACGGACATCCGTGACATTCTGTGGTTCCGACCACTCTTGGATGGCTTGAATCTTGTCCGACAGCGGACGGATGCCCTCCGGTGTGACAAAATGGCCAAGTATTCCAGCTCTTGCCAGACAAATTCGCACTTGCCGCGGTTGGCCTTGTACTTAGCCGGCAGAGTGTCTCCAACACTCGTCGAAGGTGTTCGAGATGATCCTCCAATGTCCGGCTATATACGAGAATGTCGTCTAAGTAGACCAGCACGAACTGGTCCAACATCACACGGAACTCGTTGGTCATTGCCACTTAAAGGTCGCCGGGACATTCGCAAGGCCAAAAGGCGTGACCACCCACAATGCCCATACCGCGTCTTGAACGCGAATTTGTAGCAATCATTCGGTTGAATCGAGATTTGATGATATCCCGACTTCAAATCCAACTTAGAAAAATACTTGGCGCCGCCCAATCGCTCACGAAGATCGTCGATACGAGGAAGAGGCCCCACATTCTTGACGGTTTGCGCGTTGAGCTTGCGATAGTCGATGTAATTGTAGATCCTTGTTCTTCTTCCGTACGAATAAAACTGGCGCTCCATATGGAGAGCTACTAGGGCGGATCCAGCCCTTGTCAAACAAGTCATCAAGTTGCGCGCGGAGGACCGTAAGCTCCTCCTTGCTCATGCGGTAAATGCAACCTTTCGGCGACACGGCACCGGCCTCAAGAATGATCTCGTGAGAGATTGGTCGATCTAGCACCACACCGGTAGGTGACTCGAAGATGTCGGCGAACTCGTCAAGCAACCGCACCACACGGGGGTCCGAAGACAAGTCCGTGGTAAAGAGTCGGCTACGGCGACGGTCCGTAGGAAACATAGGTCGATTTCGTCGGGCTGCACGTAAGCACAAGTAGCCCGGAATGACTTGACCGTCACCACTTGGCATCGTAGGGAAGGGTGCGGAAGAGGAAAAGTACACGGTACTTCGGCACCGAAAGCGTCACGAACGGTAAGAGTCCGCCGATGGAAGTTGACCCTGTATAATGTCGAAGTTCGTGTTCAAAATGTCGAACGTTACCGGTTCGCATGCATGAGGTTCGAAATACGCGAACGGCATTCCCGAAATAATGTCGAAGTTCGTGTTCAAAATGTCGAACGTTACCGGTTCGCATGCATGAGGTTCGAAATACGCGGTCGATAAGTTGTTGCGTCCTTCCGTCCGCCAACTTCATCGTCGTCGGGTTTCTCTTCCTCCGAACTTGTGTGCCAAGGCCAGCCCTTTGCATAAAGGCTTGGCTCATGAAATTGCGAGACGCGCCGCTATCCGAAGCACTGCAGGACGCTTGCCCAACTTGGATGCGGACATAGAGGAGCGGTGCGTTGTTGTCGTCCTATCACTGCTTGCGAAACTCGTGGGCTACCTTGGTAACATACGCAAGGATGTCCTCCACCGCAGCTTCGTCATCTGTCGGCGAAGTCGGTGGTGCATAGAAGGATAGATACGCATGAAGATGAGCGCATAATGCTGCGCAATGCGGTCCCAGCAAGTGGCCCGTGGTCGGGAGAGAAAGCCATGCGAAATCCTCGAACGTGAGCGAGTTCAATACCTCTATGTTGAACTCGCACGCCGAATCCCGTGAAGAACCACTTCAAGATGATAAGTCGCCGCTGCCGGACAGAGAAGATGTCGCACACACGTCTTGTCCTTAAGAGAGTACCCAACATAGGAACGAGTCGGGCAACATAATCCTCATAAGAAAATAGAAGAGGACTATCCACTTCCGCATATGCCCCGAAACGAAGGGCAGTCACCCGCGAAGCGACCGGTTCCGAAGGCGTCGAGAATGTGGTCGAGTCACTCCCGACAGTGCTCAGTTTCCCGATTTGCCCTTGCCTTTCGACGGCCAGCCCACTGTCTCGTGGAGATCGTTGTTGCACCACAAACAATACTGGAATCTCCTGCGTGCCTTGTATGCTTGCTCGGAGAGAACATAGTAGGACCATGAGGCTGTGGCTGTTGCGCCGGGCCCAGGGCTAGATGCGGTGTTTGTCTTCGCCTTGCTGCATCCTCGGCCTTTGCCAGGGCGGCCACCATCCCGGCCGGCGGCGAGTCTCTCCCCTTCAATGGCAGACACCGCCTCGTTAGTTTGGTCGTTTGGCGTTGCCGCCGCGACCACGGCCACTTTTGGCCGATGCTGATCGCTGTAGACGAACGGTGGAGGTTCTTAGCCTCCTTGTTCGTGACAATAATCTGCGCGGCCTTCTCGAAGAGCTCCGTCCGTGTCATCAGGGTGTCCTCGACGTGAGTCAAGGCATTGTCCAACGTCGAACATGACCTCGAGATGTAGTGTTTGATGGCTTTGAAGGCCATTTGAATCACTCGGACGGATGTCAAGCGTTGGTACTCGGCAATCCAGTCAACACTCGACATGCCTTGTTCGAAGGTCATCAGCTTATCCGTTGCCTTCATCTTCGGCGGCTCTACTTGGAACCGCTTATGCCACGCCGCTTCTAGATCATCCCAGCTGATCTGGGTTTCCAAGTCGGCAGCCACCACTCCATACTTGGCACACGCCCCCGAGCGGGAGTACTGGAGGTTCTTAGCCTCCTTGTTCGTGACAATAATCTGCTCGGCCTTCTCGAAGAGCTCCATCCGTGTCATCAGAGTGTCCTCGACGTGAGTCAAGGCATTGTCCAACGTCGATCATGACCTCGAGATGAAGTAGTTTTTGATGGCTTTGAAGGCCATTTGAATGACTGAGACGGATGTCAAGTGTTGGTACTCGACAATCCAGTCAACACTTCGCAGCGTGCCTTGTTCGAAGGTCATTAGCTTATCCATTGCCTTGATCTCCGACGGCTCTACTTGGAACCCCTTATGCCACGCCGCCTTCAGATCATCCCAGCTGATCTTGGTTTCCGAGTCGGCAGCCACCACTCCGCACTTGGCACGCGCCCCCGAGCGGGAGTATAAGTGCGCGTGATGCTTGTGCTCACTGACGTGGTGTAGCTGCAACTTGAGCTCGAACTTGCCATCTTCGCAAGTCGCAGAAGATCTCCTGATCATCCAACCTTGGAGTTGTCTCGCGCAGTTCCGAGCTCGAGTGGGTGGCGGCAGTACAGATCCGCTGCTCCAACTGTTGCATTGCGGTTTGTTGTAACTGCACGCCGTACTTTAGGGATCCGACGTCAACCTCCAATCCCTCGAGGCGATCGGAGGTGTTGGAAGAGCTGGCAACGGGGGCGGCAACGGTTTGTTCCAGCTGCTGGAGGCGGCTGTTGACTTGGTCAAACACCTGATTGTGCGTCTGAACCACGTCGTCGAGGTTGTGGATGTCCTCCTGTGCAATGCACGTGGCCAGGAGGTCCGTGAGATGGGAGAGGTAGTAGAGCGATCTCGCTGAATATCTTCTCGCGTCGTTGAAGTCGTTCTTCATCGGCAGCCTTTGCTGCTGCCTCGTCTTGCTGGCGATGCTGTTCAATTGCCAACAGATGTGCCTTCTTGGCGTCCTCTGCCTTCTTCTTTGCTGCGGCTGCTACTGCATTCAACCGTAGCTTCGCTTCGGTAATCAGAAGCAGCATCCGGGCCTGATAGGCCTCGTTCGTTTCCCCGGGCTTCTGATCCATGCCGGCTGTTTGCAAGCGCGTGAGCATTGACCAGGCCGGGGGCCTGCTGATATGGCACTGCCTGCTGCTGACATGTCCTGCTGATGTGGCCTGCTAACATGGCCTGCTGACGTGGCAACATCCCAATGCCGCCGTAGGGGGTACCCGAAGAACAGATAGAGAAGGTAAGACCAAAGGGGGCAACAACGTAGGTGGGGAGGGGTGGGTGGGAAAAATCGCCCAGATAAGAATCCACTAATCAAGAAATAAAAAGTTTGAACTCTGCAAAAATTTCGAGAAAAAGAAAAAAGTACTCGTTCGCAAGTTCAGTAGGCCTCCCAATTCCCCCTGAAGTACGAAATTATGAATAAGAAAAAAATACTCGTTTGCAAGTTCAGCAGGCCTCCCAATTCCCCCTAAAGTGCGAAATTATAAATGAGCGAAAGTTTCGAACCTTCAGACTGCAGATGAGTGTCTGATAAGAGTTCTGAAAAGAAACTACAACCAAATATTCGAAATTACTCAACAGAGAGTACGCGCAGTTTGGAAAATGATAACTGCGAGAGGTATTTCCCGTACCGTTTTCAGAAAAACGAATTTCGAAAAAAAAAATATTCCGGATTTCCAAATACTGGAAAATTGCAAAAGGAAATCAAAATTTTCCTAGGCTACCGCGGGGTCACTTAGCTGGCCGGGTTTGTTTGAAAAGATATCACGCTTCAACAACAAGTAGACAAGCGTCAAATAGATAATCGTCAAACCAGTAGAAAAAGCGATATCAAGTACCTGTCTCTTATACACATCTAGATGTGTTTGTTTGAAAAGATATCACGCTTCAACAACAAGTAGACAAGCGTCAAATAGATAATCGTCAAACCAGTAGAAAAAGCGATATCAAGTACAGTGTACAAAGTACAAAGGTACACAGTGTAAAAAGTACAAAGGTACGTGAATGATTAAACCGCCGGTGGGTATGGCACCCCAACCGGTTTCGACAGCCGCCACGCTGTCCTCCTCAGGGGGAACAACCTACTTCTCCCTCGTCAATTCCCCGCATTCCTCATTCCCACCTCCGCAGTCTACCCGTTGCCATCTCCGGAAATGGACCCAGGCTTACCGGCGTCGGACCCGAAAAGACCAAAGACGGTGCAATCATAGATCATATAGGTTCCAGTCCTAGTCTGACAGATTCGCAAAGGTCAAAGCTACAACTCGCCTATCAAAAAGCACAAAACGGCTAAGGCCGACATACGTAGCAACTGGAGAAGACAGTACACACTATTGCTGCCACCTATGTCCACATGCAGMTAACTCACCGCCTGCTTCATTATCAAACTAGTTCCTACGTGTACAGTACAGCGATACCAAACCAGTGGTACCTGTGTAAGGGCCAATAGTGCCAAAACAGTGCCAAAACAGGGGGCTTGTGTTCAAAACCCGAATCCTGAGAATGGCACGACCAAAAATCGTATACCTGCACAGCGACATAGGGCCAACAGTGCCAGAACAGCGACATAGGGCCAACAGGGCCAAAAACAGTGCCCAACAAGGTCCTGTGTTCAAAACCCGAATCCTAAGAATGGCACGACCAAAACTCATATACCTGCAACCCAGGGTTCGAAACCCAAAACCCCCAGCCCGAGTTCAAAACTGCAACCCCGGGTTCCAAACCTGAATAGCACCCCAATCATTCAATAAACACAGGGCCTGCGTTAACAGCGCCATAGGGCTCGAACCCAAGCAGCTAGAATACCCCCTGTCACCACCTAGTCTAAACAAACGCCTACATAACATGCCGATAATCCCTGTCCTCACATTAGATCAGACTGTCCGGTTCCTAACTTCCGTTCCACTTGCAACAGAAAATTCAATAAAATGGCGATACCAAATTCAAAATCAAAGATTCAAAAAATACAAAGGCACACAGTAGACAAACAAAACGAAAACTATCAACAAAAACAGAGAAAGGCAGATTACATCTACACTACGACAAACGGAAAACCTACATCAACGACCTTCCCCGTACAACCATTCGGATGTCCATGTCCAGATCTTGTCATGGCCCCGTGAGAAACGTTTGAGTACTCGCTTCAAAAAGGTACCTGGAAAATCCTTAAACCGCAGTTCACGCTGCAAACTCAAGACTCTCATGGGTATGGCTGACCGATCGTTCGTGTTGCGGTCGATACGGTGAAGGCAACTGCCTACCACTGCGCTCTACGTCTCCTTGCTTCCCCATGATGGAAAGTCCTGCCCATTCTTAAACTCCAGGCGTTCCTCCTCCCGTAATGACTTTTCATTTTTGGAAGACTGAACGCAGCTGAGATATGGATACACCATATCGACTCTCATAACTGTTCCCAGGAAGTCCCAAGAACCTCCGCCATCATCCGTACGTAGTAGCTTTAAATTCTCAGGATAACACCTTTCGAAGTTGTCCTTGATCAATTCCACGTTAACCCGCTTCTTGCCTCCCCGAAAGATCACCACACTAACATCATCCATGAGTCGACATCCGAACACGTTGCGCTTCAAGCTCCCCAGGTTCTGCAGAAAACGGTATTCCGCAAATGCGCACATTAAACAAGCAAGTGGTGGGCTAGTGCTTTTTCCCATTGGGATACCCACTACTTGCCGGATCAGAACACCTGTTGCCTTTGTGTACGTGTGTCGGAGCTCCCACCTGAAAAAACTCCAAATCTGCTCCAACTCGATCGATCTCCAGTGGTCATCACCTACAGTCCTTCCAAATGTGCATCCTTTCCCTCTTGTATTCACGCGGATACTGACTCTCTTCTTGCTCAAATGATAGTCGATAGCCCAATCGACCGCTGCGATGATATCGTCGTGCGGCAATTTACTTTGCCGTCGCCTTCCATGTCCGAACCGTAGGCTCGAAGAATGTAGGACAGATCGGTCGATACCTCGACAGGTCCTTATGTTTTGGCATCACGTATGCCTCGCCAATTTTTCCTTTTGAGTCCCATCTTATGAACTGCTGCAGATCCAACGATTTGGCATCGGCTCTCATCCTCGTATGTATAGTAGCCTCAGTCTCCGTGATGATACTGTAGCCTGGCAACAGAACAAACAAGTTCATCATCGCCTCGAAGTACAACTTCGGGCAGAGAACCAAGGTCGCTCCCGGATTCCTGTCCAGAGGCGTCAACACGAATTCCTCTAGTAACTTCTTCACACGATACACTTCTACTGGATTGAGATACTTCTCCCCATCATGACTCCTGGACATCATACACCTAGCTGTGTCAGATCTGGTGATAGTCAGGTCGTTGCCTCTGAAGTTTGGCCACGATCGAATACCCACTGAGATTTCCACCGCCAGCTGCTTAGCACGGTCCAATTCTGTCCGCTTCGGCACATTATTAGCGTTGCAGATTAGGGAATGCACACCCTCCAAGTCCTGCAAGCGGAATTGCACGTGGTCACCTACCCTGGGGTAGGGCAATCCTGCACATGTGCAGGTCAACACATCAGCACCGGCGTATGCCCGCTGATTGTGTAGCATGTTGGCGACGGATGGGTTCTTAACCCATACGATCCGAACATCACCTCGAGCAACGTCCTTCATGCAGTCCGGGATCTCCATCCCTTCGATTCTATCATTAACTACCTTACGGACTTCAACCAATCTAATCCGATCATCAAATTTCAAACGTACCACAATTCTAGCATTAGTACTCCAACCGTAAGTGTCTTTGATGGCCCTGGCGATAATCCTTCTTAGATAAGCAGTAGTCGACGTTTTTTGAAAATCAGCAGCGGCCTTCATCAGTCTGGTCAGCACGTCAAGGCTACAGTTCTTGAGGGCATCCATCCTTTTTGGATTACGAAAGAGGGTTCGTAGGAACTTCTTGTCGGGTCCTGCCTTCGGTACCCATCTCCGTAGTTGTTCAATGTTGAGGCGAGCGCCTTCCTCCATGATTTTCTTGCATGCAAAAAGCTTCGTCCTACGGCCGTCGAGCTTAACGACCGAATTACCAAATGCTGACCTGATCAATTTCCAACCCCTGCACCAGCTGTTCCCACGCTGAGTGCATAAACTGAACTTTCGACATCCTTGTTCCTCCTGCGACTTAAGCAGCTGAAAGATATCAACCATCCAGTCGTCGTTGTTGGCTATTTTTGCTTTGACAGGTAATACCGCCGCAGAGTCAGTTCTGCATGGCGTCACTCCCATCAGCTTGCTACGCTCGTGTTTCCCTTTTTGTCGGTTCTTCCTACCCTTGCCTTTCCCTTTCACGCCTGTAGTATTGAGAACTGGATTCCAACGCTGGAGATACAACTGTTCCAACGACGGTAAATCTTCCGATCGACAAGTCTCGACTGGCAATAGAAGATAAGACTCTGTACCAAAAACTTGCCACCATCTGTATAGGTGCGTCTGCTTTTGTCCCCTTCTGCATACGGACAGATGTTCCTTCCAACGTGTAGTACCATTCCTACCCGTCTGTCCCACGTATTGCGCACGACAGGTAGGAGATGTGAGGACATAGATACCCCTGACTTCACCATAAAACACGCGCACACCATATCGTTGATACAGACTAATCCAGGATACTACGCACTTCCTCAACCACCTAATCTGATCCTTCAAGGTCAAAAGCACCACGACTAAACGATAAACGACTTCAACCGCTGTGTCATAACCACGACTTCTTCGAACGATAATCAGAGCCTTACACATCAGCCACAATCGATGTGTACTTCATGCTTCGTCATCATTGTCACCATCGCTCTCATCTTGCTTCTCCGCTACCTCGGTCGGTTCCTGAAGAATGCCCAATGGTTCGTTAACATCTTTGTTGGAGCCGTAAGCAGTTTGCGTACGTTTCTCCGTAATAGCCAGAATGGTCTCCATTTTCTTCCCTTCGTATGGCACATCCTCGGCACGACAGACGAGCTTCAACTCGTCGACATTCAAACTGCCCAGTTCTCGCAGAGTATCCGTCACGTAGCGTAGCTTACCCATCTCGCCAGTGCCCGCGGGAATCTTCTTCTTCTTCTTCAAAGAGCTTTGCATGGGAGATTTCTTCTTCGGTGTCTTCTTCATCGCTTGACATCCGCAGCTTAGTTGTAGCCGTTTCGGATTGAGAGTGCCCAACTTCGTAGTCCGATTCGCTGGAGTCACCATAGGAGGGCTGTCGCCCACCTGCTTTTCGGCACTTCTCTTACGCTTCTCCTTGATCTTGAGTCCCTCCGTTTGCTCACTGAGAGTGTCCACATCACTTTATTCAGATTCGTACGCGGCATCGTCAAATGAGCAGTTTTGAAGCTTAGCTTTACCCTTGTTTCGGTCTCCCGCCACCTCTCCTAACAGTCGGTGCTGCAATTCTTCACACATACCGCCTACGTGCATCCGAATCTCCATCCTCAAATCTTTGCGCATAGCTTCCCGCAACTCTGCTTCTGCTCATTTCTTATCTTTTTTCTTCTTGGCGCGCCGCTCCTTCGCCAAACGTTTCTCCTCCTCAATCAATTCGTGTTCCCTTTTCTCCTGCTTCCGTTGTTCTTTTTTCAACCTCGCCTTTTCTTCCTCCTCCTTCCGAGACTGTTCCATTTCAATGAAACTCTTCATGCTAGCTATTGAGCTAACGAGGTCTTCCACTTGCTTCCGCAGTCCTGGTTCCTCCGATACCGATCGGCGCTCAATGTTCCTAGCATGATGTCCTGGTGATACGGATCTCCCTCGTGATCCTCCCTGCCAATTACTACCCTCGCCAACAAGGCGTGGGCACTGATTTTTGTAATGACCAGGTTCACCACATTCGTAGCACATTGGTATGAAACGCTTAGGTGCTTCCCGCTGCCCATTGCTTCGTTATTGATGTTGATGTTGTCGGCCACCGTCGTTAGGCTCCCGAGAAATCTCTCTACCTCGGTCACGACCACCGTCTCCGCGGTCGCCTCCAGCTGCATAATAGCGAACCCGATCAGGTTCGCGTCCGTACTCCTTATACCCAGAGTTAGACATCCCTGATTCGGATCACTCAAACTTCGTCGACAGTCACTTCGTCCCCTACGCTAACAACCTCTCCTCACAGTATACAGTAGGTGACGAAACAAAGTTCTTCAAATCAACGTACGCTGGTCAAATCTCCCAAATTGCAGTAAGTCAAATTCGTGTCTCCAATCTTCATGTTCACTCTCGCTCGGCGACTTCCAAGCTGGTTCACAGGGGCCTTCATGAGTTTGTTTGAAAAGATATCACGCTTCAACAACAAGTAGACAAGCGTCAAATAGACAATCGTCAAACCAGTAGAAAAAGCGATATCAAGTACAGTG